CAGTAGAATTGTGTAGGGGTTCAGTTCTTTCAACTGTTTGCTTACCAACTGTGACTTGATTTAATCACTTGTTCTTGACAGTCGTTTATGCATCTAGTTCAGGGTATCAGAATGTGAGATAGAGCATATAGGTAGCCATGTGAGATTTGAGCCTGCTCGTTTCTTCCTTGTGCGATAGATCCCTCTTCCATGATGTGTAGCATTCACGTTGTCACTAGCTAAGATGATGGGGGCATAGGATTAGCCCACGACCAAATTTGACTGTCCTGATGTGTCATATCCCCTAGTCAGCCCTTTTGAGCCGTGTGTTATCCTTTCTTTTGGTCTGAAATGAAAAAAAATCACCCTTTTGCATCTTTTAGAAGGTTCCACAGAGTGGTTTTTTTTACATATTCTCTGCTATTTCTGCTAAATCTGATGTGAGTGTTGGAGGTAGTGCTTAAAATTTGGGCTGGGCATGTGTTTGAAATATGTGCAGAAGTGGTGGCTCTCTTAAGAAATGAAAAGAAAATGAAATAAAAAAAACAAAGAACAATTGAAAGCAAAGAGAGCCACTACCAAAAATCTGAATAATGCCCAGTAAGTAGTGTTTCTTAGCAGTCTGGCTTGGAAATGCTGACATTTATACCTCTTTCGCTCTTGTGCTCTTGAGATATTGAGTAATGCAGAATAGCAGAAAGGAAATACCGGTTTGTTTGACTGTGATTGTGTGGGTTTGGAAATGTGGAACCTTGTGCTATGAATACTTCCACCACCTAAAAGGCCTTTTCCCCATATCCAAGACCCTAGCCAGTCATTTGAACCTGTGTCTAAGACCTCCTGATTAGTTAGTGGTGACACCCCATATGTGAACTCTAGCATTTAGAGGCTGCCATCATGGTGAAGAGATGTTAGGGATTGAGAGAAATAACATGCGCATTTTTCGCATCAAATTGTCCTGACCCCACTGGTCGAGAGTGAGTGATTCATTTTCATATTCTATATACTCTTGTACCCCGGTGAGGACCTAGATTGCTCGGTCTCTATTCTGATGTCTTGAGTTGGATGCATGAGTTGACTGTTTTGAGTAAGTGGTTGAGTCAAGTCTAGGTTGGTTGGAGAACAGAAGGGAGACTCTTCCTTTACTCGATTTTGCTGCACTCGAATGTCCTTTGTGGTGGTTGTCCAGGTTGCTATTGAAGTTGCTCATGTGTTGATGTTTGAAAACCAGTACGATTCACGTGTTCTGTGCCTTTATGACTTGTCCCCAAGGTTGGTTGATTGAAATATGTAAGCTTACCTTGTGTCTGACTTGGTTTGCTTGGGGACAAACAAACGGTTAAGTGTGGGGGAATTTGATAGCATCATATTTGCACGTGTTTTCACTCTGGTTTCCTGTCCATTTTAGCTTGAATTGATTGTTCCTTGGCCTATTTTACGCTAGGTTGTGTTGTTTTGTCGTATTTCAGGTCCTAGCAAGTAAAGAGGTGCATAGGCGCAAGTTTCGGGTCATTTGGAGGTCAGATGGTGATTCACAGGACAAATTACGGGCAGCCCCTGCCAAATTACGACCGTAATTGGTCAGGGCATGCCCGTAAAACCAATGCCGAGCCACATTTCCCAGGAATTCTTCTCGGCACTAAAATTACGGGCAAGCATCCATCAAATTATGAACGTAATTATAGAAATACTAGCGGTAATTGTGCAATTATGGGCGTGGCTCCTCCTCCATCAGAGTAAAGCGAAACGCGCGTTTTGGGCGAATTACGGGCAGGCCGTGATTACGGCCGTAATTCTGCCCGTATTTCGCCCAGAGTCGGGTTTTTTAAGGCAGATTCGAGCCAAAGAAGAGGGATCGGATTTCTTGAGCAAAAACATAGCCCTAGAGAGAAAGGACGAAGAACACATCCTAGAAGCTATCTTGGAGCTGGGTTTCATCAAATCAAGCTTGGAGATCGTCATAGGAGTGGAAATCATCATCCCAGAGCAGATTCTTCCATTAATTATGAGTATGACTGCTTTGTATCTTGTTTTCCTCTCTCTCTCTATGGAGTAGAACCACTCTCTCACTTGGGGATGAAGAACCCTAGATCTATGTGTTAGGGATTGATTGTAATGACTTGGGATGATATTACTGTTTGATTTTAATCGAATGATGCATGTTTGTTGAGTCAATTGAAGTCTGATCAACTTTTCCTGATTCCTGCTGCAATCTGAGATATATAGAATCTGATTAGGTTGCTAGAGTCTCATCATTCGGTAGTAGGAGATTGGCTATACGAGAGTTAGCCAGTTTACTGCTTTGTACTGGAATCCAATTCCAGTAGTGGAGTTCTGTTCTTACTGCTTCAGCTTTCTATCCCGGTGAAGACTAGTCGTCTGCCGGGTAGTTAGACTGAGAGGGCTTGGTCAGCTTAAGAGATTCCAAGCTACTGTCGGATCTTCCGCAGTCTAATCAACAGTAAATCAACCCAGGGAAATACAATTGAAACCTAACTAAGGAGCTAGGGGGACTCATTCCCGAGTGACTCTTACCTGCTTGAGAAAACCGTACCAATTCCTGCTTTCTTTCTGCTTTTGCTTTTAAACAACAATCACTTACTTTAGTTGGCTAGATAATAGAGAATCACTGAGTAAGCAGTAGATCTAGACCCCGGGTTGATAATATAACTTGTCACTTTACTGCATTCCCGGTCTGCGATTACACTTGGTCGCAGATTGGTGTTGTGTTTTAGAGCAGCAGAATCCAAATTATATATAAACTTTGAACCATTATGGAAATTGAAGTTTTGGTATCAAATTGTAGAATATAAAATACATAAGTACTAAACTATAATTTTTGAAAAATCCATTAAACCAATCAAATGTACTTGAATCAAATAATTGCACTAGTTGAATTTATTTGTGAATGAATTGGATTCAAATTGTCAATCAAGCTGAATCTTATCTAATCAAATTGTAGATTATCAATAGAAGTTAACCCCTATGTTTAAACGTGAAAGGATCTCTGAAATGCTCTCGAATTCCTTCCCCTCACCGGCGCCAGACTTGTCTATGACTGGATGGCCGCCGGACCCCCTTCCTTCTCAACCGACCACTGCTCCCCCTGTTGCTGAACCCCCTCATATAATCAAACTCTGAATTTCAAAACAGCTCTAACTGGAAAACCGATCGGAATAGCCACAAAGATGAACCAATGGACATATGTTGGAGAACACGACCTCATTCCACGCACCATTGGGGGCGAGCTGGAGTTGAAAATCTCAGCAAACTTCAAGGAATGCCTATGCCTCCCCTGAAAGAAGACTCTAGTTTCCTAATGCTGGCTCGATCGGTTTCGTACTCATACCTCTGCTCCCAACTCCGATGGAAGTGGCGGTCTACGGGACAGCTGGACATCATGGATTTTAACGACGAAATATTCCTAGCTACCTTCATCAATGAGAACAATATATGGTGGCATTAATGGGAGGTCCCTGGGTCCTCCTGGACCACTACCTCTTAGTCCACCAGTGGTCACCAGAGTTCCAAACTTTCTACAAAACTCACCAATCAGTAGTTGCCTGGGTCCAATTGTCGGAGCTGCCTGTCCACTTCTACCACAGGGAAGACCTTTTCGCAATAGTCAATCTAATCGAATGAACGATCAAGATTGATTATCATACCGAACAGCTGGAACGAGGGAAATTTGCCAGACTTGCATTCGAATTAGACATGTCCAAGCCTCTACCTACTCGAATTTTCTTAGATGGGTTCTGGCAAGCTGTGTTGTACGAAAACATCCCTTTGATTTTCTTCGAGTGCGGGTGTATAGGCCATAAAGAGTCCCTCTGGAAGCCACGCCGCTCGCGATGGTGGTCGCGGATTGCAGCTCGCTAGCAATGCATCAGGAAATCTCACCACCAGAACCGCCACCAGGATACGGTCCATGGATGCAAGTAGTGCGGAAATCTCGAAAGCATAGTAGGAAACTTTCCTCAAACGGCAACCAAAAAAAAGGAATCAAGGCCAACGGGAATTCGGTCCCTGGTAGGGGTGGGCAACGGGACGGGACGGGATACCCGTCCCGTTTGAAACAGGTACCCGATCCCATTTGGAGAGCAATCTCCATCCCATGTCCCAAACCCGTACAGGTTAACGGGTACCCATTACCCGCACGGGACGAATAACAGGTACCCATAATACCCATAATACCCGTCCACTAGACCTAACAACATAGGTTCACGTGAACTTTGGTAAAGAGGGAAATGAAATTGAGGTGGCTTGCTGCTCCTCTACTAGCCTTGCAAAATTTCTCCCTGCTGTGTACCTTTGTCACCATGTAATGCAAACCCCAACCCAAACATGCATATATATATATATTCTGGTTATATTATTTGATTTTGCACTCCCATTATTCCTCCAGCAAATTCTCAGCTTCTTCAAGCTCCCCCAGTTTCACCAAAGAGCCCATTATTAGTCCCTATTATGTCGTTTGCTGAACTTGGCTTTAGCAATGCCTCACAACCTCAACACTTCATCCTTGTTTCCTAGATTGGCATGGATTAATGGGTATAACGGGTACCCGTAATACCCAAACAGTTATTAACGGGTAACTCGCGGGTACCCGAAGTAGTGATTCTTGATCTCAAGTCCCATCCCGTAAAAATTTTTACGGGTATTTGGGTACCCGTAACTCTCAAAAAATGGGATGGGTACGGGCCTAAATACTCATTTCCCGTTGCCCACCCCTAGTCCCCGAAAGAACCAATCAAATAGAATAAAAAATGAAATCCCCATCCCGCAACAGTTGCAATGAAATTGAGTGGAAATGGCAAGGAGGAAGGAAAATCAGAACAAGGAAACTCCACCTCCCAAAGGGGGAAAGCCATTGCGGCGGATACGGCTCCCAAACCCTCACAAGAAAAAGTGATGTACCTAGCCTGGAGGCCCATCAACAACTCGGAGGCCTCTGCCTCCTACGAAGCCTAGTCCTTGGATAAGCCCACAAAGACGGTTCTGACCCAAAAAGCGGATCTAGGCTATGTCACCCAAGTTTTGGGTCCTAACAATACCCGGATCCAGGTGGTGAGCGTCCCTCTGCCTGTTCCCCTTGGTAAAGAAAATGTTGACCCAAACTATAGCACATCATCGGCAAGGAAGCATTATCGGAGAAAATCAGGAGCTAATGGAAAGTCACCAAATGCTTCCAAGAAGAAAGGTCTGAGTTTGAAGACTACGAAGAAGTGGATAAATACGAAATCACACTGTGAAGAGGGACATGAAACGCGAGCTTAGAGACAGAATCAAGGACCCCTCCTTCCCAATTACCATCCATGCAATCAAAGATCTCTTCGCCAAGACCATGTCAAATCCAGCAATCACGGCCCCTCCATCGACTTCGAAAGGGATAGACGAGACGATGACGGATACTGGAGGGGACAACACAGCAACGGAGAGTAGGGAGCAGAGCTGCACCCAGAACACCAACCGGAGACTTAGGCCGCTGTCGATTTTGAATCCCCCTAACATTTCTTTCCCTGTCTCTATATCTATGTCTATTTGTCCAAGTTCTAAAATTCTTTCTTGGAAGCTAGCCAATAACACCTAACAGTCAAAGTGTCCAAACAAACACACACAGATTGGCTCTTAACTGGCGTTTATGGCAGCCTTAAGAACAGTTATCATCACCTTCGCTGAAATCATCTTATACACACTGGACGGAATGCTACCATTCCATGGTTGGTGACTGGGGATTTGAACGCGATTTGTCTCCCTAATGAGAAAACTGGATTGCTATCGACTACAGCCCTTAGACGATGCCAGCGCTTCTCCAACTGAATTAACGAGGCAAATTTCCTTGATCTGGGTTCTCGGGACCTCAATTTACCTAGTTCAGAGGCGATACTGCAGCTACTTTCAAGGCCAGCCGCATTGACCGTAGCCTCTGCAATACATATTGGAATTCCCTGTTTACGAATACTTCAGTCCGACATCTCCCGAAGATTAATTCGGATCATCTTTCTATCCTCACCTCGTATATTGCTTTTGGTTCTAACACCGGAGTATCCGGGCTTTTTCGTTTTGAAATGGCCTGGCTGCTACACGATAAGTTCTCTGATTTTTTCGCAGGTGCTTGGAACGTAGAGGGAGACCTTCATCCAGAACCTGAGTGATGTTGCTGCTAAGCTTCAAGATTGGAACAAACTCGCCTTTGGCATCATAAATCACCATAAAAGGAGACTGCTGGCTAGGATTCAGGGAGTTGAAAACCGTCTCACCTCAACATCGACTACATGGCTGATCAAACTACTCGCCAAGCTTGAAATAGAACTCAACGATCTTCTGGCTCAAAAAGAATTGATCTGGTTTCAGCGTACTAAAGAAAATTGGGTCAAATTTGGAGAACAGAACACCTCCTACTTCCACCAACAAGCTAATCGCTGCAGAAGGAAGAGGAAAATTCTGGCTCTTCGAAATCCAGAGGGAGAGTGGATAGATGATCCAAGACAACTTTGCAGGCTGGTTCTAGACTTCTATACAACTCTGTATACCCAGGATGACCCCCATTACTGCGACTTGATGCCTAAGGTCCGCTTCCCTCATCTTCGAAACGAGGAGCTCCTTTCTCTCTTGCGTCCTTTTCAAATTAATGATTTTCATAGAGCCATTTTTTATATGAAACCGTTTGCCGCCCTTGGTTCAGATGGTCTTCAAGCGGTTTTTTATCAAAAATTGTGGCATCTAGTTGGCAAGAACTTGACTAATATGGCTTTATTGTTTATCAATACAGGGGAGATCAAAGAGGAGGTTTTGGAATCTACTGTGGTACTCATCCCCAAAGTTGAGCACCCGGAGTATCCGGCTCAATTCCGTCCCATCTGCCTCAATAATGTTTGCTTGAAGGACATTACCAAGGCTTTCACCAACAGGCTGAAACCGCTCATGGGAAGATGGATTGCGCCGATCCAAAGCATCTTCATTGTCGGTTGTCAGACCAATGATATCATTATCATCCTGTAGGAGGTTCTTCACTCTTTCTGAAAAAAGAAGGGCAATAAGGGAGGACTAATCATGAAGATTGACTTAGAGAAGGCATATAACCGGCTTAGATGGGACTTCATCAGAGACACTCTAGTGGAGACTGGCCTCCCGAGCACCTGGATAAGTCACATTATATTTTGTGTTCAACAAAACAAAATGCGTCTAAACTGGAATGGCCAGCTCACAGATCCTATCACCCCTTCTAGAGGAGTCCGTCGGGGGGGTGGGGGGGCCTCTCTCCCTATTTATTTTTGCTTAGCATGGAACGCTTGTCCCACAGGATTGAGCTGGCGGTGACTGAGAAACGTTGGAAACCTCTAGCTCTAACTAGGAACTGCCCCAAAATTTCTCACATGTTCTATGCTGACGATTTAATTTAGTTTAGAGAGGCTGAAGGTCATCAAATTGACATCATCAGATATCTTGATGAATTCTTTTCTAGCTCTGGACAACGTGTTAATTTGAACAAATCTGTTATGATGGTGTCGCCGAACTTCCTCAGAGACCGATCACAAAGACTAAGCACAAGGGCGGGCATCCCCCTCACAACCAACCTGGGGAAATACTTGGGTATATACACCATCAATGGGCGGGTCTCCAAGGACAAATACAAGGACTTAACCATCAGAATCCAAAAGAGACTTGCGAGCTAGAAGACCAGACATCTAGCGCTAGCAGCCAGAATCTCCCTTTGAACTCTATGTAACACCCTAACCCGATCGGGTACTACTTTTACCAAAATACCCTTTAAAACCATGAAACAAAATAAGAACTACAATTAAAAGGGGTGGGGAATAATTAGAGGGGGCCCGAGCGCCTCCTCCCTTTATATATATATAATATATTTTTTTATGATAAGAATAATGATATGGCTAAATTACACGTTTGGTCACTTGAATTATACAAATCTTTCACGTTTGCCACCCGAATTACTTTTCTTTCTTATTCGCCACTAACTTTACGAATCATTTCACTATTAGTCACAGCCGTTACACTCCGTTAAATTTTTCCTACGTGGCAGTCAACTATAAAGTTTGAAATAAAAATGACGTGGAAATTAAAAAAAATAAAAATTTATTTATTTGTCCACCTCATCATTTCACTTACTTTGTGTATATGATTTATCATACCATTTATTCAATAAAAATTAAATAAATCAAATAATATATATTACGTTCTCGAGTTGCAGATATATGAATATATGTAACTCCAAACTCTCCATTCTTCTCGTCACTCCTCCGACAATGGCGACATCTCCTGATCTTGTCTCTCCCTCCTGGACCACTTATGTCTCTCTCCTTCACCCAGGGTTCAAGAAGGCGTGCCTAGGCGCGCGCCTAGGCTCAATTAGGCGCTAGGCGGTGGAGGATTGCCTTGACTTGGCCATAGGCGTTGTAAAAGGCGCTGGTAGTGCTTAGTAGGTAGGAATAGCGCTTAGTTTGCGCCTAGTGGAGAGAAGGCGTGCCTGGGCGTTCCTGGGCGAGCTTAGGCGGTTAAACCCAATACTCTTCGTTTTGTCCTAGAAAATCAGAAACTTGCCTCTTGTCCTAAAAAATCAGAAACACGAGAAGTAACATCTACTGCCGCCTGCCGCCCTAGCTCTCGCCCCATCTGCTACCGCCTGCCCCCTAGCTCTAACCCCATTTGCTACTCCTGCCGCCGCAGGAGAAAGTCATCGATCACTCTTCTTGCCTTCACACCGCTCCGCTGCTATAGTGGGAAATAAAGTCGAAACTCGTCAATTGCTGCTCCTTCCTTCTCCTCGGTACGTAGCACAAGCTTCTTGCCTCTATAAGCACCTATTAGCAGATGATTGGTCACTATTTGCTTGTTATTTGTTATGTTAAGTGTTTACTGTTAAGAACTATGCATTGCTAATTTTATATGCACTTGGATTATATGAATTATTTCAGAAAACAGGAAATATTTGAGAATTTTTCCATTTATACTCTGAACGCCTAGGCTACACCTAATCGAGCAAGGCACAAGTCAGGAGCCGAGCGCCTGCCTTACGCCTAGCGCCTTTTAGAACCTTGCCTTCACCAGTTGCAGCGGTGTCACACTCACATTCATCCTTTCAGCCTCTTTTTGTTGCATGCTCAATCTCATACCGACATTCAGTCTTCAAACACTGATCTCCCCCAACAAACTATGGTGGAGACTTCTTACCCCGCCGTCGACGGAAAACCAGCGACGGAGACGGATCTGGTTCTCAAATCAGCCATCAAGACCGATCTGTTTCATCTCCGGCTCCCTCCGACGCCATCCCGATTTACGCCCACCACTTTCGCCTCCTCCTCTGCCGCCCGACCGACCAGCGACAGAATCGTCTCCGGGAACGGCCCTTTTCGCAGCCAGTGGATAGATTTGGTTCTCAAGCATCCGCCACAGCTGGCGAGTTGAACCAAAATATTTGATAACCAACAAGAAGAACTCAAAAACTGAAGATGCCTAGCGTCTATTTGCTCTTCCCTAAGTTGGAGTCATGACTCATTCCAGTCACTTATGGATACATATCTATCCTAATCGGATCATTCCAAAACAACTAATTGATGATGGAGACTCCAAATTTAATGAACCCTCCATTCAGATCTAGTCACTTCCACCTTCGGTAGATCTGAGCTCTTCACCATTGACTTCAAATCTAGGGATAAGATAAGTCACCGTCGTTCCGGGCAGTATTTCACCTCAACGTTTTCTCTTACTCTACCACATCCTGGCCATCATCTGAGTACAACTCCAAGAGAAATTTGATGTTGTTGTTTCGACGGGGGGTTGTCGGCGTGCCGTGGCAGAAAACCAGTAGGTGGAGCTGGAGGCGGACTATGTGGTGGAACTGGAGGAGGGGTCGGTGGTGGTGCAGGAGGTGGATGTGGATTCTGCGGCGGAGGTGGTAGAGGTCTAGGTTGGGGAGCTGGCGATGTTGAGTTTGGCGGTGGTGCTGGTGCGAGAGGTGGGATTGGGGGTGGCGTTGGTGCTAGTGCTCGGGGAGGAGTGGGTAGTGGGTCAGGGTTCGGGAGGGGAGGGGGAGCATGGTTTGGAGGTGGAGCCGGCGGGGGTGCTGGTGTTGGTGGTGGGCTCGGGTGGAGGTGGAGGAGATTTTCCGAGGTGGTGGTGGCGACAGCCTAGGTGGCGTAGCAGGGGATGGGTTCGGTCATGGGGCTTGCGCTGGTGAGGTCCTGGGTTGTCGTGATATAATTTAATTAAATTAAAAAATAATTAATTTCAGGATGACAAATCATATATAAAGTAACTGGAATGATGAGGTGGACAAATAAATTATTATTTTTTTTTATTTTTTTATAGTTGACTGCCACGTAGGACAAATATAACGGAGTGTAACGGCCGGTGACTAACAGTGAAATGATTCGTAAAGTTAGTGGCGAATAAGAAAGAAAAGTAATTTGGGTGGCAAACGTGAAATATTTGTACAATTCGAGTGACCAAACGTGTAATTTAGCCACAATGATATAATAATAATAGTTATTATTATTATTATTATTATTATTATTATTATTCCTATTCTGCGATTGTAACCATTCGTACATAACCTTTAATCACATCGTTCGCGTATTATGGTCAAACCTGAACCCAAAGGTCGGATTGTTATACTCTATCTCCTCTTCTCTGTCCATTTATCCTATATTCACCAAAAAATTGCTTGATGGTGTGTGTTCTTCTTTGGACAAAATCAACAGACAGTTTATCTGGAGCGAAGAGGAAGGGCAAACAAAATTTCACCTGATAGCTTGGGATCAAATGACACTTCCTTGGAAGATTGCCACAGACAATCAACCTCTCTAGGTCTGCGTTATGCAGAGCAAGTATGGTCAAACGAGAGTCGGCATTGATACTCTTAGCAAATCAAAGGGAAGTTCCTTCACCTGACGTAGTTTTTGTCAATCTACTGACGTACTACGCAAAGGTTGCGCCTTCAGTATTAGTAATGAAAAGAAAGCTAAATTTTGGTTGGATGTGTGGATCTTGCACGTTCCCCTAATTGAACTAGCCACCACGGAGGTGCTGAGTGAGATACGCCACCTGCAGTAGCCCATTTTTGGGAGGCGACGCAGGAGTGGAAGGTGGAGATGTTCGAAGACTACCTGGCCCCGGAGATTATTGATCACATTCGGGCCGCGTATGTGGACTCTTTGTCTCATGAGGATGACCGGCTGCGTTGGAAGCTGACAAGCAATGGGCACTACACCTGCAATTCAGCCTTCCGCTCCATCTCCCCACCGAACAACCCACAAGCACCGCCAACTTGGAAGAAAATCTAGAAACTCCATGTCCCTGAAAGGGTTCGGGCTTTCATGTGGATGGCGGCCTCGAGCAAACTCTCAACCAACAGTGTGAGGAAATAACGACATCTCACGGAGGATGACAACTATCAGGATTACCATGGTACGCCGGAAACTAACCTTCATTGCCTTCGAGATTTCCCGAGAGTGCGCAACATTTGGCAGAAAATTATCCCAATTGACAAGATCGATGATTTCATGGCAATGGATTATGGAGAATGGCTGAAAAGTAACATCAACAACAACAGCCTCGACTACTGGCCGGGGGAGTGGGCGAGTTACTTCAGACTTATCTTGTGGTTCATCTGGAAGCAAAGGACGAGAAGATCTTCCGAGGGAAGTCTCTCTCCCTGCCCTCTCTTTTTCATTATGTTACTTCCAAAGCTAAAGATTGGGTAGAAACTTGGGAGGTGCTTGCAGGAACCTTGATGTGCGCACCAAAGCAGCCCGTTCAGAGGAGCTAATCGGTTGGAAACCCCCACCCTCAGGATGGCTGAAGTTAAACACAGATGGAGCGGTGCAGGGACATGACAGAGAGATTAGAGCAGGGGGGGTTATTCGCAGCAGTGATGGGGATTGGATAAGCGGGTTTGTCTGCAGAATTGGAGCAGGATCGGCGATCATGGTGAAACTCTGGGGCATCCTGATGGGCATTAAGCTTGCTCGGAGGCTGGGAATTGAGTTTCTGATCATTGAATCTGACTTTCGGTTGGCCCTTGACCTCATTCAGCAACCTCCAGATCCGACCCACCTTCATGAGAGCATCCTTACAGATATTCGGAGAACTCTTGCACAGAATTGGGTGATTCAACTAGTTCATACATATTGGGAAGGGAATAGAGTCATGGACTAGCTCTCGAAGTACAGTCTCGTCTATGCTTTTGGTATGCATGAATTGGATTATCGACCCAGGGCGGTGAGGGCTATTCTGAGAGAAGATATTATGGGAGTTAGTATACCTCGTATGGTGATTAGACAGGAGAGTTGAGTTTTTTCTCTACTCCGCAGTGATGTACTGAGCTTCTTTCCGGTTGGTTCCCAACCTCCATTCAATAAAAAAAAATCTAATCAAATTGTAGGCGTGAACAGTTCCCCACCCTCGTTTTTCTTCATATGCACACTCGAAATAAGGGATCTATCATTTAGGTCGTACTGCGGTGAATTATGTCCAGTTTTACCAACAACATTCGCATCCCATAAAAATTAAATCACACTTTTAAGCACAATCCTCATGCTGTAAAACTTGTTGTTGTTTTATCACCAACAGTTCTCACCATGTTGAGACCGTCTCTGAACTAGTTGCATCATGTGGGAAAGGATTTACTAGTACCATGATTCAGCAGATTACACGGTACTTGTTTCATCTTTATCCTGCCCATAACTCGAAACAACTGGAGAGATGGGGGCCGGGCAAAGGTGAAGTGGTGGGAGAGAGTGTTAGCGATTGGTCCACACAAGAGGAGGGATGGTGTTTGGCTTTGGCGATTGGGTTCTTTGAATTGGAGAGGGAAGAAGTTCAAGTAAAAGCAAAAGCAGAGGGCTAGCTACTAGTGTGCAACTTGAATGTAAAATCTTTCACCAAGTACACTTTTTTTTTTTTTTTTTTGCATCAACCCTTTTCCTCAAAAGAAAAATCAAAATGAGAAAAGAGAGAGTGAAGGTGGTGGATAGATAGGAAGAGGAGAGGGGATTGGGCATTGTGAAGGAAAAACAGAGCAGAAGAGAACAGAGTAAGGAAGGGGAATTCAGAGAGGAGCACATGCGAGCCATTTTGGGTTTTGTGAAATTTGGCAAAGGGGAGAGCCATTTGGTAGGGTCAGAATTGCACATGGGATTGGAAGAGAGAGAGAGGCCCAGAGAGGATTAAGGCGGTGGTGGTGTATGTTTTGTTTCCCTCTGTTCCTGCCGCTGCTCGTGGAGGTGGTAATGGCTTTGGTACTATTAGTACTACTAGACAGAGTGTGAGACCCTCTTCCCTTTACTGAATGCCTTTTCGACCCTACATGCCTCGCTAATTATAGGGCTTTTTTCTCTCTTAAACCATCCATTCTCAACTTTCAACTCTCCTTATTTGATGTGGATCAATCAAGTTTCATGTGTTCAAAAATCCTGACTACGATATGAAGAAAACGTTATTTCATTCAAGTTCTCGTAACTTCTCGTTTGTTGAATTTCTTGTTTCATCAAGTATACTGGTGTTCATGGGATCTTGTGCGGTAGAAATTTCATTATCTTGTGAATTCTGTCGTAGGGAGCGAAAATAATATATGATTACTTCGACTATGATTCACGAATAAGATAGTTGTAGACGTGAACATTGGAGACTCCGGATTGGTTATACTACATGTCTCTGTATAATTAAGTGTAGAATTTCGCACCATATTTTCATAAAAAACAGTAGGAATGTGAAACAGCGTAGGCCACATTGTGGCAAAACAACGCCCCTTTATAAGCAAGTACTCCTAGTAAAAGGGCAAATGAGTTACAATAAGAAATGTATTCATAATGCACCCTTTTTTATCTTGAAAAGATTCACCAATCCGTACTTTGTGAAGTAGTTAACAACTTCATATTTGGAGATTGCCATTTTGGAGGCTTGTTTGGCTTTGGGGTTAAGAATTGTAATACCTTCCTAATCGAGTTTAAGACAAACAAGGAGAAAATGATTAGGCTGTCGAACGCATTGTCAGTTTGTCACCACGCCAACAAAGAATTTGCTCATCCCCCATTATAAATTAACTAAATCGTAATTACCAATAATTGATTTATTAAAAATTGCAAAGTCTTGCCCCCTGTTTCTAATTTCTTTTACCAAATGACAAGACAGATGAGTTGGCATTGCGAAGAGGAAAATAAAAAAGAAATCAGGGGGACCAGAATGAAACGAATTACATGTACAGAATGAAGGACCAAGAATCAATAATCAAGAAATGAGGGGAGAAAATGGCAAAGCTAAATAAATAAATAAATAGCATGATAATTAAATCAGAATACAAGCACCCGGAAAATTAAAAAAAATAAACAAAATGGAAAAACTGTTTTTTTCTAAAATAATAATAATAATAATAACACCTGCCATTACTAATTCCACGCGCCGGCGGCGGATTTTCGGGAGGGAATTGATTATCATTGGGCGCTAACCTCCGGACCCCGAGCAGCCCCGCCGCCGCCGGGGGCGAGAATCTCGGCGAGGGCCGCCATGGCTTTCACCTGCATCTCCAGCGCCGCGATGTAATCCCCGACTTCCTCCAACAGATTCGGCAGCGGCGCCTTCCGGCAGCCAGGAACCAGCCGGCTCAACGTCCGGATTCGCTTCTCCACAGCCGGCGGAGGATGCGACGACGACGAGGATTTATTCTTCTCCTCCTCCTCCGCCGCCGCAAACAGCTTCTGCTTCCGCCTATCCATCGACCTCGCCTCCCCGATCACTCGCGCCCGCCTCACCTTCCTGACTCTGGTCAGCCTCCGGCGGCTCGCGAGAATCGCGCGGCTCCATCGCGTCGAGCCGCGCGCTGCGGCAGCCAGCACTCTATCCGCCGCGTCCCTCACCAGCGTACCGCTGGCGGCGGCGGAGGTGGAGCTCCGCCGAGAGCTCCGCAGAGCTTCGAGCAGCTTGGTGGAATAGATCCGGTGCTCCGCCTCCGTCCTCCATCTCCTCGGCTTCTCCTCTCCGACTCCGCCGCTGGTGGAGGCGCAATCGGAATCGTGCGCAATTTTTCTCCGCTTTCTCCTCTGCTGCTGTTGTAATTCCTCGGAAGAAGCGCCGCCGCCTGTGCTAATCGATTCGGGATCCGCACCACCGATCGGCAACGCCATGGATAAAATTGAAACTAGAAAGAGAGCGAATCTCCGGTCTATTATATCGCCTGGAGAAAATTAAAATCGCCGAGAACAGAGTCAATACAGTACGAATCTAGTTGTGAATCGAACAGAGGACGTAATCTACCGTCTCTGCGAAAATTTAACTAGATTCTATCAGTGAAATGCACAGACAGAGAGCGAGAGAGTAATTTACCTTCCGAAACAGAGAAAGAGGAATTAGAAGGCGGCTGAGTGAGATGAACTCGACGACGGCGGCGATGGCGGTGAAGAGGAAGAGAGGGAAATGAGAGCAAATTTTGGAGAGGAAGAGGGAAAGAAGGGGGAGAGTGGGGGCTTTAAAAACAGGAAAAGGTCACGGGAAACCACGCGGCCACTCCTTAATCACATTTATTGGCGCTCTCTTTTCTCTTCCCACTTTTCTACCGAGGGAGAGGGTAATTCTCGTAACGGGTCACTGAATTTTATTACAGTTACTAATTAAGTCCTCAAACTTTTATTAGTAATTAAATCACAAACAAGTGTACAAGTACTATAGACACAGACATGAATAGGGGTAACCTACTGCTTAACAAGGGAAACCATATGTTGCATTTTAACTAGAAATGTTTGTTCAATCATCTTTGTACCAACGTATAACTGTCTACACATTTCTTGCAAAAGCTCCCAACTATACTCCAGATGAGCTACACTAAGAAACAAACCTATCAAGAGATTCAACCAAATCTGACGATGCAATAAATAGAGACTGATGTATACACCCGCACTGAGCATAGGACGTAAAGTAATCATAGAGTAAAAATAGACGATCTCTTGATCATGCAAGAATGCCACATAAAAAGTGCACAAGTAGTTAAGTTCAGTTGCCACCTTCTAATCTTGACCAATGCATGTATGCGATTAAGGGTAATCGACCGAGAGATAACCCTGTCTTTAGGAGCAACTAAGGACTTCAAATTAGTTTGTGACGCCTCACTTTATCAGGATGCGGCCCTGGGTAAATTTACGTTTAGGGCAAAAGGAAAACTAAAAGAGTTGGATGAAAAAATTATCTCGTTGATCTTGATTCTGGATGGTTTGATCTTGTTGGTTTTCAGATATATATATGTCTATCATTGTATCACACTTTGGAGAGTTAAATTTAGGTAAGTATCTTTGTGATGAATCAATAATATGAGACTCCCTACACATCAAATTAACTACAAGATGACTAGGGAGGGTCTGTTTTATTATTTAAATTTAGGTATGAATCTTCATAAGCCAAAATGCTTATTTTCAAGCTTGGTTTGGGGAGAAAATATGTCATTTAACATATGATTCCCATTCTTACCATACCATGTGTCTCAACATAATAACATCTGCTCATTGTGTTTGATAATTCAGGTAGTTGTCCTTTGAAGAAGAATGAGCCTCTATAATACTACTTTATTTTAACTTTCGTATCATTGACATAATCCATTGTCTTTTTTCTTCTTCTAAATGTCGAGGTTTTTGTTAGAACTAATGAAAAGAAAGGGACAAAGAGGGTAGAAGATTAAGATAAGAGACTAGTTTTGTGTGGTTGATTAATGATGATATCATGTTGCTAAAGTACCAAACCAAACATCTTGATTATGGTTATGTGTCAATTAGTGTATAGTTTAATTACATGCCATGTAACAAATTATGGGAGGGTAGAATATTATTGCTTTGCTAGTAGTTTCATTTCAATGTATCTTGTGAGTTGCTTAACTCTAAAGACAAAAGGGACAAGGTAGACAAGACCATAAAGCTAGGTCGCATGTAACTAATTACTTAGTTAGAGTAGTCATTCTGTTCATCAAATAATTACGGGTCAAACTCAACAACCAAAAGCATATTACCATCATAAACATACCCCTAAATTATCTTATTGCTCTGATTGCAATAATTGTAAAGCGTGATAGCTATTAGTAAAAAAAAAATACTTATAATTTTTTCTAAATATATCTTGAGTCGAATTATCTGACTAAACTCGTGAAATTATGGCAAGCACATTCTTGATTTAATTTTAGTGTATGTACCTTGACGTTGAGTCGGTTTTCTGGTCGGTTTTCTCGTGAATAAAGCTAACCTAACTCAATTTAGGAAGAAGCTTTGTGAAATGAAGTTATCATTTATTATATGTTATGCAATAATAATATGTTGGAATGGGAATCATATGTATTATTATCCTCTATTTTGGAAACCTTACTTTGCAAGGCCATTTCATTCATTGTATGCTATTGTAAAATAAGCACTAGCCAGCCTAGCTAAGCCACACAATCCCTTACATCCTTCTGTATGTTGCCATCACTCTAATTAGTCTCAATTAATTCAATATTTGTGTATGTTGGAAGTTGTTAATTGGATAAGGAAAGCATAAAGAAGGATTGTGAAGGAGAAGTAGTGTTGGCTTTCCATTGAATAATTGGGTTTTGTTTGGTGTATTTTTCTTTGTGGTGTGGGCAAAGGGGAAAATGAGGATTTGGTTTTATTCCAACCATTACAATGATTAGTGGGATCATGTGTAGCTAATTACTCGAAATTAATTTAAAATTGAAGAAAAGAACTAGGAAATGGAAATGGGATCATGGGGAAAGGAAGGAAAAGGAAAAGGGAAGCATGTGGGTGGTTTTCATTGCACTTTCTCTCATGTTCTTCCTTGGCCTACCTAGCCCATTAATTAGCTTGATTTTGAACTTTTATTCTCCTCTAGTCTCTCAAAGAAGTACTCATTATTGAACCAACAATTGTAGTTTGACTAATAACTCTGAATTGTTGATGAGGAAAAAAAATAACTTTGAGTTTCGGATAAGTATTCCCAATTCGTGATTAGACGTCGCCAAATTAAATTAAGGATCTTTATAATTTAAAATGAAGTACTTGATCGATCGAGTTCAGATTTACGTCGTCAATCATTGTCTAACTAGTTCATGAAAACAAAGAAGATAAAAAAAACAAGCAGATATTATCATATGTGAGCTATATGTAAAAAAAACCAGATAATGATAATAACGCGAAAGTGAACATTGCTAATAACAAGAAAGACAATCAATAAATTCATAGAAATTAATACTTTTCTTTGATAAAAGACTTGATAGGGTCCTTGTTAATTTTGCTTGGTTAGACTAGATGAAGGATAGTAAAGTTCATATTCAAGCTCCTGGAGTCTCTAACCACTATCCTTTATATGTTGATACTAGTGCTTCTCTGAAATCTCTCTCGAAACCGTTTAAATTTTTCAAATTCTGGATTCGCCATCCGAAGTTTGATGAGTTGTTGGAAGAAGCTTGGAGTAGTAGTGTGATTGGTCATCCCTTGATTAGAGTTTGTAAGAAATTGAAGAACTTGAAGAATATGCTGAGGAAACTTAACAGCGAGGAATACTCGGATTTGAGGGAACGTGTCAAAGAAAAGGAAGCTGAAGTCTATCTTGTGCAGCAACAGGTTTGTCTGACCCCTCCACTGATAATTTTGGGAATGTGACGAGGCTGGAGCTGGAGCAGGAGCTCAGGGTTTTGGTTAATGTTGACGAGTCTTTCCTTCATCAAAAATCAAGAGAAACGTGGTTGAAAACTAGGGATATGAACTCAGCATTCTTTCATAGGTCTATCCGCTCTAGGCAGAAGAGGAGCACTATAAGGGTTCTAAAAAATGAGCAAGGGGAGAAGATTCAGGAAGTTGAAGAGATGTCTCAAATTGCAGTAAGGTTTTATCAAAGGTTGTTAGGAGTGGCAGATCCTGAGGTTGAAACTCAAACTGATGACTACATCTCTGGATTACTAAAATGGAAACTTGTTGATGATCAGATTGAAGGTATTTGTGACCCATTCACAGCTGAACAAATTAAAGATGTTATTTTTGGTATGGATGGAGACAAAAGCCCTGGACCAGATGGTTTCTCTGCGGCATTCTTTCAATACGCTTGGCCACTTATTGGATCTGAGGTAACAGTTGCTATTCAGTTTTGTTTTGAACAAGATAGGGTACCTAGGCCAGTCAATGCAACTATTCTCTCATTGATTCCTAAAATCCCAAACCCTGATGATATGAAGAATTTCAGGCCTATTTCCTGTTGCAATATCTTATACAAATGCATTTCTAAGCTCATAGCTAATAGATTAAGTCCTCTGCTTCCCTCATTGATTAGTAAAAACCAAACAACATTTGTTAAGGGAAGACTAATTGGTGAGAACATCTTAATGGCTCATGAACTTGTCAGTAGATATTCTCATAACAATATCTCCCCAAGATGTGCTTTAAAAATTAACCTCATGAAAGCCTTTGATTCGGTTGATTGGAATTTCATATTCCAAGTTCTTAAGTGCATGAGAATCCCAGAAAGATTTGTCACCTAAATTAGAATGTGTGTAAGTACCTCTATGCTGAGTGTATGCTTCGATGGAGGCTTGGTTGGTATTTTCCAGCTAAGAAAGGATTTATAAAGGGTGACCCCCTATCTCCTTACTTATTCTCAATTGCCTTGCCATGTAGGGGTGGGCATTCGGTCGGTTCGGTTTCGACCAAACCAAAATTATGAATACCGGGTCTCGAATTCTCTCAAACCTCAAACTGAATTCGAACCAAATTATAATTCGGTTCGGTCGGTTTAAACCAAATTATAATTCGGTTCGGTTTTTCAGTCAAAACCAAATTTGTGAAGCTACTTGTATTTTCTCACTTTTCAATTATTTTCACCCTAATATAAACAATATATATCAATTATATGCATCATCAATGATAAAATCAAACTTTTCAACACATAAGTCATAAAACATTTCAAATATTTAAGTCTAAAAACAACTACAAACATAAAAATCCACCATTTAGAGCTTGCAATTATAGTATTTCGGTTTTTCGGTCGGAAATTCGAGAATTCGGTTCGGTTGAAAGAATCCTGGCTTCCGAACTATCCATATTTTCCTTCCGAATTCCAAACCAAATAGCATTAATTCGGTTCGGTTTAATTCAGTTTCGCTTTAGTTCGGTTCGGGTTTACCGAACCGTTTGCCCACCCCTATTGCCATGGAGTTATTTACCTGTCTGATTGATAAGTCAGCCACTGCTGGTCGTTTCCCATACCACCCAATGTGTAAAGGAGTTAAGCTTACTCACCTCTGTTTTGCTGATGACCTACTGGTCTTTATGGATGCATCCAATTTTGGAATTCAGGAGTTGCAAAGAATTCTTGACCAGTTTAAGAAAATATCTGGATTGAAGTCTAACCCTATTAAGTGTGAAATAATTTTTGGAGGGCTCCCTCAAGAGGAGAGGGTCGTGAGAGCAGAACGTTATGGATACAAGCTGGGGGACTTCCCTGTCAGGTACTTAGGGGTTCCCCTAATATCGGGAAAGTTAATTTTGACTGCTTGTAAGCCACTTAATGATAAGATAGTTGCTCGAATCACATGTTGGAAAGCAAAATCTC